ACAATCAGAAGCAGGCCCCGAACTATCAGCACAGGGCCCAATGCAGGGCTCAAACTCATGGACTGCAAAATCATGACCTGAGACAAAGTGGGACACTCAACTTACTGAGCCTCCCTGGCGCCCCCAGCTGGTAAATTTTTTAAACCCCTGAGCTTCAGTTTTCTCATCTTCTGATATATATAATAGTCTCTCCTTGCAGTCATTTTCAAAAATTTTCTGTGGGGCTCAGGTAAGATGATATATGTAAAGATGCTTTGCAGCTCACATGACATCAGACAAATGCAGGAGATGTCAGTGTTGTTGTTTTCTTTAAATTTTTTTTTAACATTTATTTTTGAGACAGGGAGAGACAGAGCATGAACAGGGGAGGGTCAGAGAAAGGGAGACACAGAATCTGAAACAGGTTCCAGGCTCTGAGATGTCAGCACAGAGCCTGACGCGGGGCTCGAACTCACGGACTGTGAGATCATGACCTGAGCCGAAGTTGGTGGCTTAACCGACTGAGCCACCCAGGCACCCCTAAGTGTCAGTGTTGTTTAAATTCCATTCTGAATGTGACAACCTGCTGCTTATTCATAGTTGAGTCATTCTTTCTTATATTTATAATCAAATCCCTGTAATCAACTGTGCCTGACTTATATGGGGGCTTCTGTGAAGAAAATAGGAAAGAAATACATGAAGTGCTTTTGTTCCTACTACTTATATTAGCTAATGGAAAGATGAAGAATAGATATTTTAGGAGTTAAAGGATCAATTAGATTCTCAGAAGGATGTTTGTGAGTTTTTAATCTGGAGAACTGAATTTTATTGTAAATTCTAAACTTCAGGGTTAAATTTTTGGGACACAGGACTTTATAACATATATATATATATTATATTTATATGTAATATATACATATATATTAATATATATAATATATACATATATATTAATATATATATTAATGGAAACTTTCCTGCTTAAAACAATCAGATGTCTATCTTGTCTGAAGTACTTGAGCCTTACAAATAAAAAGAAAGAAATGGGAAATATGAATCAAGTGTGATTACACAGTTAAATTGGATTCATGTTTTCATTTATATCTTAATAAAATAAGGAAATTTGCTAATAGCATTTTAACCCTGTCTTGCTATTTGGCAGAATTTTGCACTTGAAGTAGAAGAGACAAAAAAAGCAAGATATTCTGTTTATGAGATAATATATTGAAAATAGCAAATCCATAACATCTTTGAAAATCTTGGGAAGCTGTACTTTTTACACTAATGTTTGGTATGGTTATTATTATGGAAATTGTGCCAGAGGTTCTTTGCAAATACTCCCCAGGAGTAATATGAAACTCACCAAATATGTTGTAGTTGTAATATTCATCAAAATGAGTTATTGACTTTATTACATTTTAATTAATAGCTATTATCAAGCCACAAATTTAATTGTCTCTGTTGACAAAATGTAGCAGTGGCTATGTACTCATAAGAATTTAGTCTTGTTTTCTGGCAAATGTGGAAGGAAATGAGAAATGTGGAAGCAGTGGAAGGAAATGAGAAAATAGATGGGGAAAGCCCTTTGAAATCTGGACATGATATTCATAAGCCCTACTACTGTATTTTTCATTATTAGTTTTTTATTATACATATTTTAAATATTTATAAGTATTTGTAAATATATGAACTTTAAAATTTTTTGATTTAAATTTCAGTTAGTTAAAATACAGTGTAATAAAGTTTCGAGTGTACAATTTGGTGACTCGACACTTACATACACCTGGTGTTCATCATCACAAGTGCACCCTTTAATGCCTATCACCTATTTAACTCATTCCCCCACTCACATCCCCTCTGGTAACTACCAGTTTTTCTCTGTAGTTAAGAGTCTGGGGGTGCCTGGGTGGCTCAGCTGGTTAAGCATCTAACTCTTGATTTTGGCTCAGGCCATTATCTCACAATTTGTGAGATTGAGCCCTGTGTCAGGCTCCGCACTGACAGTGTGGAGGCTGCTTGGGATTCTCTCTCCCTCTGCCCTGCTCGTGCTCGCTCACTGTCTCTCAAAATAAATAAAAAATAAACTTTTTTTTTAAATAAAGACACAGTTCCTTGGTTTGACTCTATCTCCCGCCTCATGCTCATTTGTTTGTTTCTTGAATTCCACATGTGAGTGAAATCATATGGTATTTGTCTTTCTCTGACTGATTTTGCATAGCATAATACTCTCTAGTATCATCCACATCAATGCAAATGGCAAGATTTCATTCTTTTTTAAGGCCAAGTAATATTCTATTGTATATATATACCATACCTTCTTTATTCATTCATCAGTTGATGGACACTTAGGCTGTTTCCATAATTTGGCTATTGTAGATAATGCTGCTATAAACATTGTGGTGCAGGTATCGCTTTGAATTAGTATTTTTGTATCCTTTGGGTAAATACCCAGTACTGCGACTGCTGGATCATAGGATAGTTCTATTTTTAATTTTTAGAGGAACCTCCATATTCTAGAGTAGCTGCCTCAGTTTGTATTCTATCCAAAAGTGTAAGAGGGGTCCCCTTTGTACACATACATATGTTGTTTCTTGTGTTATTAATTTTAGCCATTGTGAACATTTTAATATATTACATATATTACACATATCACATATATGTAGTTTTAAGGGACAAACAGAAAGGAAATTGAGGAATAATTAAACCTTGCCAAGTTTCCCTGATTGCAATTCAGTACACAAATCTGCTAAATTACAAATATCATACAATGGATATTAGCAACAATTATTAACAAATTAGCACAGACTAGTTTATAAGATTAACTTTCATGAAGTTGAAATCCTGGAGAATAACAGCAAATAGAGTGTTCTGCTTAAACTCCAAAGAGACATATTCTATTAGTTAAATAACAAAAAGTAACATTTCCACAATTTGAATATGCCAGTGCTAATCTACCTTCTGTAATACAGACACTTTTGAGTGACACACTCAACTGCCAAAAAGATAGTTTTTGGCTGCAGGAATCCAGAAGTTATGTTAATTATAGCCATAATCATAATTACTTAAATTTGTGCAGTATAATATGAGGTATGTATAAGATTCAGTGGCTGAGCAAACAGGAGAGAAGCTACTTTGGGACAACTGATTAAGGTGGCAAAAATCTGTTTGTAAAAGTGGATGTGAGCCAAAATATTTCACCCTGTTTGCTAACTTATTCTAACAATTTCATTTGGCCAGAAGTGATTCATAGATGTTCCCACTTGAAAAAAACTCATAGTTTTCTATATTGCTTCTAGCTCTTCCACTTATCATCCCCTGCTTTCCTCGCTTATCATCAGTGTTTGGGTGCTTTTTGGTTGTTTGGTTTGGTTTTTCACCCCTTCCTGTGTCTACATCCTGGGAGACAGAAACCCTTTGTGTGACTTCTTCCCAAAACTTTCTCCATTTGCTTGAGATGCCATTTAATTCTGCTGTATATGGGGTTTGGTTGAAGGATCACTGATGTTCAGATACCTGGGCTCTTTTTCTAACTGCCACTAAATTATTATATAACTTAAAACATGTCTCTTCTATCGGGGCCTCAGTATTCTTATCTGTAAATGAGGGGATTAGATAAGGTGATATTTCGGATTAATGCTAGCTACATTCAGTGTTTGTTATACTTGGTTATATGGACTGCCCTGGGAAATGTCTTCCAGTTAATATAACTATTAAATAGAAATTTTGATTTTGTTCATTACTGCTTTTAGACATTTGCTTTGATAAAGCACTTTAAACATAAACATAAAGTGCTTTAAACACATTTATGGGATCACAGCTTCAAGAACAACTGGTGCAGGAAAAGGAATATTCAAATATGATACTGAGAAGGACTAAAATAGCATGAAAAGATTATTTCAGCTTTGTTTAAAATGGGGTTCACAAACTCAAAAAGTCAAGGGATGCAGTGTTCTGGTGATTGTGTTCAAATGAAACAAGCTATTCTTTTAAATTTCATTTTGAACACCAAGTACTACTGTGGGTCCCCTTTTAAACTGGCATAATGTAAATCCAATAGCACATCAAAATAGGATCTACTTTCAGTAATCCTAAGAGTGTAAGACTACTAGAGACCCTAATTCTAGCCTTTTCCCACCCCCAACTGTGGACCTCAGTTTTAGGGTCCATAAAGTTACATTAAGAAAAGATGGGGCACCTGGATGGCTCTGTCAGCTGGGTGCCCGACTTCGGCTCAGGTCATGATCTTGTGGTTCATGGGTTTAGGCCCTTAGTGGGCTCTGTGCTGAGAGCTCAGAGCATGGAGCCTGCTTTGGATTCTGTATCTCCCTGTTTCTCTGCCCCTTCCCTGCTCATGCTGTGTGTGTGTCTCTCTCAAAAATAATAAACAAAAAGACTGAAAGAACCACGTGGCTGGCTTAGTTGGTGGCGCATGCAACTCTTGACCTTGGGATTATACTTGGGTGTACAGATAACTTAAAAAAATAAAATCTTAAGAGAAAAGGGGAAAAAAAAGTGGATCTCCCATAAATGTCAGAGAGGTGCTTGACTTCACTTGTCTCAGCATTCCAGCAAATGTTTTTTATTGAGAAATCTGTGACCACTTGTTGCTTCCAGGTTAGTTTTCTTCTTTCCTCGAACTCATATTCACTCTGAAAGTGTGTGTGTGTGTGTGTGTGTGTGTGTGTGTGTGTGTGTGTGTGTGTAATCTTCTCACGAGAATCCTTACAGTAGCCAACAGATATTTGGACAGTATCTTAAGGGAAACAAACTTTCAACGGCTATTATGGGCAGTGAAAGGTGAAGACAAACTCCCTGTCAACAGGCCCCTCCCTGCACATTGTAAGCCAAGAGCTACGTCATAGAAACTCCCGGAAATGCACCAGGCTCTAGGGGCAACGCATGCGCAGTGCGGGGCAGTTGAGAACGCCCTTTTCCAGACCCAGCTGCCGGTTGGTAGCTGTGGGGATCCTCTCCCCGCGGCCTCAAGCTGACAGGGTAGGGGAAAAGGCAAGTAATAAGACTGCTTACTGTAGCCCTTGCTTGTGGCTGTAGAGGGAGGTGTTTCCTTTTCTGAAGAGCTTCCCTTCTAAAGCCCTAAATGGCGACGCGGTCTGACAGGAATGAGGGTACCTCTCCATGGGAGGTGGCTTACAGTAACTAACAGGGAGGAGGGGCGGGTTTAGTGTGAGGGAGACCACGCAGCCCCTGACCCCACCCCCAGGCTCATGTGGTAAGGCCGCCTTGGCCTTCAACCTCAGCTCTGAGCCTCACATTGTAGATGGAGGTCCGGATAGACTAGTGGCCGATCTTTGGGTGGGGACAGGGCTGGAAAACTGTCTTATGAAAAACCAAGATGGAAAAAGGTGTACGGGAGGGTTACATTGGCCAACTGACAACTCACTGAGAGTTGGCAGATTGGTTGATGCTCGTGAAAATCTTCAGAGACTCCTTCCCAGGAACAGCATGAGGCAGAACTAGGACAAAAATAGGAGTAGGAACAAGAGTTCAGAAAAGGTTGACTTCAACTAAACACGAGGAAAACTTCCCAAATAATTTTAGCTGTTGGCAAGCTCACGCTGCTGCCTCATCAAGCTCTGTGCCACTTCTGTGAAAGCTATCCCAACTGTCGAATTCCAACCTTTTGGTTAGATATCACCTCTATTTTTTAAAATCCCCTGAGTCGATGATTCTCCCTTTATAGTAATAATATAATAATCCATCTCAGCATTATTTATATTATTCTGTTATGGAAAAAGAAATTCACCATGCTCAGAATGGCTGATGATATAATTTAGAATTGTTTGTTTTGAATCGTATTACTTTATTGTCTGTGATATGGATAATAGGACTTCTGTGGTTGTGCGTTTAAAATACATTAGACTTAATTAAAATGCTAACACTTAGGGGACATTTAGCGTCTAGTTTATCCCCCTACATAGTCCTATAGACCCAAGCCTTTCAACATAAAGGAATGTAATTGAAAAAAAAAATTTAAAGCTAGTCAACATTTATAAAAATAGACACTGAAGTCTTGAGGAGGGAATTTTTCCACTATCTTAGCTCATTAACTTTTACTTATTTTTCGTGTTTGTTTTACAAGTTTTGTTTACCTCCTTTCCTTCCCCCCCCCCCTTTTTTTGTTTTTAAGCAAAAAACAAAAGTTTTTTAGCTGAGAGTTTTTAAACCTGAGATGAAACACCTTGGTCAATACTTTGCATAAACATCTATAGGGAATTATAAGAAGAGAAAATAGGCACTAGTCCTCTGAACTGAATTTAAATGAAGAAAGCAATGGAAGTTGGAAAGGCCAAACAAACAAAAAGAGAGGGAAAAAAAGTCATTTAGGTAGATTCAAGAAATAATGTAAATGTTAAATAGCAAAAAACAAAAACAAAAAACAAAAAAAAACCCTCAAAAAACAAAAGAATAGAGAAACCACTGCACACCAAAACCCCGTTTCCTCAAAATTAGAGGACTTTAAGTGATGTTGTACAATTATATAAAACACAACCACATCTTTTAATCAATGAAATTTCCTCTGACACATTGTAAGTGCATCATTACCCATTTGTTGAATATACTTGAAGGAAATGCAACTTTTGCCTGTTTAACCAAGTCTCTGCTGAATGCAAGAACTTCACTATGTATTTCTGTCTATTAACTTTATTTATTTTTATTTTTTCAGAATAACTGAAACTTATTGGAGAGTCACTTCACCGCTGGAGGCTACCCAAATCTTCTTTCCTTTATCCACCACCCACACTGTGTACAGCCTCTCCTACCCTCACACCTCAGGTGAAGGTGAAATCAGAGAATGATCAGCAACTTGCTCGTGTTGCCAATTTCATCATGAATTTTAAGACTACAGATAATCTGACTGTAAGCATCAGGATTCTTTCAGATCTTCCTATTCCCCTAGCAGCTCTCATTTTCAGTCTGAGCTTGTCCACCAAGTATATAACCCTAATGCTTGATTGGAAGTTCTAGAACTGTAACAAATTGGAGTTTCAAAACTATCAGGTAACCACATGTGGCTATTTAAATTTCAATCAATTAAAATTAAATAAAATTAGGAATTGTGTTCCTAAGTCTCACTAGCCACATTTTACATGCCATATGTGGTCAGTAGCTACTATATTGAATAGTGCAGATGTAGAATATTCTAACATTGCAGGAAGTTACGTTGGACAGTGATGCTTTATAAAGTTTGTCTGCCTCTTGTCATTTCTGAAGTTTAAAAGATATTCAGATTAAAATCCAATTTTCTTGAGGGGCAAGATAAAAGTAAACACAAATATGCTGTAGTAGTTCAAAAAGTGCTATGAAAGGCGGGGCCTGAGTTAATTGGCTGAGTGAAGAGGATGATAAAACATGGCACCCCACTCATCTAATATGGTCCTACTTCTTTTGTCTGGGAAAGTGCTACCCATATTCAAGTTTTTTTCAGAAGTGGACTTAGCTGTGATTGTAGACCATTTGTTTAACGTGAACATCAATGATTTACATTTGTAAAGCATTTGTATATACAAGGTCATAAAATTTAGTTTAAAGATGGTAAAATGGAAGGGGAGAACAATTGATTCTTCCAGAATTATCACAATTACACAATATTACTTTTAAAATTGTCATTACTATGTCCTTTGTATCTTGGTTTCAAAAGCTGAGTAATATAGGTAAGGAAAACTGAAAGCTGCAACAAATTGGAGTTTCAAAACTACCAGGACTGATAATGATTCACATTTCCATAATGAATGTTTTACATTTTAGAAAGTGTTCTCCTTCCCATTTGTTTTTCTTTACATAGGTCTCACAAGACACTCCTGATGTAGGCAGGGAAGATATTATTATTTTTCTCTCGAGGTTCTTTTCTGTCTAGTTTGGCTTAACTCAGATGCCACCTGCTGCGTGAAGCTATCTCTTTTCCTTGCAGTTAAACATAAACTCCTTAGCACTTTTTCTGTATAGTACTTGTCTTAATGCTGTTCATGTGCTTTTTATCTTTCTTAATAGATTCACAATTTTTGTTTGACAGAAGTTGTATCAGGTTTATATTTGGTTTTTATTTTTTGGCCTTTTCAATTTTATCTCATTGAGGTAAAATTTACATAACAAAATTAACACTTTTAAAGTGTGCAATTCAGAGGTATTTAATATATTCACTATGTTGTACAACCATCACTTTTATCTAGTTCCAAAACATTTTCATCACCCCAAAAAGGAGCCTTGTACCCGTTAAACAGTTTCTCTTCCCTATCTCTCCCCGGCTTCTAGCAACCACTAATCTTTCTGTGTCTATGTATTTACCTATACTGAATTTTTCATCTAAGTGGAATCAGACAATATGCAACCTTATGTATCTGGCTTCTCTCAGCATAATGTTTTCAATGTTCATCCACATTGTATCATGTATCAGTACTTCATTCGGATTTATATTTGAGGTTTTGTATTTTACTAAAGAGGTGTGCAATACATATTAATTAGTTAATTGATGGTGGATTATTTTATCCCAAACTCCACACCTGACAGCATATGCTAATATAATGTAGTCTGTATGAACAGATAATGCCTGAACCTGATTAAGTTCTGTTATTTCATTCTTAGCTACTTGGATTATCTAAGCCTTAAATATTAACCACCAGAGGATTTGCTCTATTTATCCATCTTGAGACATGGCACAATCATTTAATCTTTTTCAACAAGATCCTACTGTGACATCCTCTCCTACTGAAGTTCGTGTGTGGATAGAAGGTAAGATGTTTTGAAGTATCTTAACTCTGCACGTCACTTCTCATCTTTTGCAGGCTCAGCTGACAAGATTTCACATATTATTTTGCAGTCTCTTACAGAAAATGCTTTAATATTAAAGACTTGAACCTTAAATCTGTAATTTTAAGTTCTTAGCATTGTTTTAATAAACACATCCCAAGAAAAATTTCCTTCCCTTGATTAATATCTTTTTTGTATGAATATTGGAATTAATGTATTATTTTTACTTAACATATTAATGTGTGGTTATATGTGAATATTAGAAGCAACCAAATATTCTAAAATAATGACATTAAACAGTAAAACACACTACTTAAAAGATATGATTTACATTCTTCTATTGGAATGAGCCATTGCTGACTGAAGAGGATGGATTGTATAAAGGAATAGATGCAATGAAAGGAAGAGTGAAATGCAATTAATTTAAATAATTTTATTATTAATTATAATTTATTACATTTAATATATAGTTTACATTTGAAAGCAAAGGCTATGCCTGCTTCTATCACTTACTGTTTGCATTAATAGTTACTAAAATAATAATATATCCAATGATTTTAAGAGGTGGGAAAGATCCAAAGTGTTCTTTATTATCAGCTGTCTTTATTAGCATCATGCTAAGGAGCATTTTAGGAAAGATTGGCGATGTTTACCACTTTTAATTACAGAAACTCTTCTAAAGATGATACTATGAAGCTTTGCTCTATTGCAGTGTTTTCTTTATGTATAGCTGGTTTAGCATATTCTGTTGTGTTAAGTATAATGGATTAGACACTACATAGATGAAAATAATATATTATCATTGCAGAATTATAGTATCTTTTTAAAGTTTTATTTCCCCATCCATAAAATTCAGTGCAGTAAGATTTCCCTCCCAATACATTGAATTCATACAGTTTTATAGCATGATATGTGAAAATTTATTATAAAGTAATTTCAATTATGTGAATAAAATTACTTTAATGCAGAGGAATTTAAAATGAAAAATAAACTCCAAGTTTTCTTGAATCATGCTTTAATCCTAACTTTTATAATTTTTAACATCAGGAAACTTAAATATTCTTTCATCACCCTCACTAACTTAGGGAATAAAGTATTGGTTCCTGCCTTTGGAAGGAAATTCCAAGTTTTCTTAGCTGCATTGTTATTTTTTTCTGAGTAATTGATTTTAAACTTCAGGCCTTTGCATTTGCAAAGGTAGCATTATTTTCAGTAGCATTTGCAAACTACTGAAAATAATACTAATGCAAGAAGAAATGTCTTCTTTCCCCTGTGATTCCGTAATATTTCCTTTGCTTTTCAAAGCATTTTGTGCCTATCACTGTATTTGTGTGTGTGTGTGTGTGTTTCATCTTTTCACTATCAAATTGAAAATAGTTTAAAGGCAAAGTGTAATATTTTACTTATCTTTGTATCTCTGACAACACTCAGCACAATACCTTGCAAAGAGTAGGTACTTAGCAAATATTTTTATTATTGACAAAATAATGACTTTAATATTCCAGTTCTCATTTTTTCCTATAAAATTGGCGTAATGCCCAAAAAATTTCAGGTTGCCACTCTTAGTTAACTTTTGTTTGGTGATATTGGCATATTCTTAAAACAATAATTATAAAAGAAAGTAATTTCAAATAAGCAGGCTATGAATTATAGATACCAGACCTCAATACCTTATTGGTATCCTAGCTTGGATTTGGTCTTTGATTAGTGGTAAGTTACAAAATTACTTAAAAAAAAAACAGTTTCTGTTATATGGGCAGAAAATCAAGGATGATTATAACAATTTGACTTACTGGAGACCTTTTCACACAGTTAATTTAGAGGGAAAAACCTAGAGCAGTCTAGCACTATTAAAACTGAGAATGCCAGAGGGTTTTTGTATTTTTTGAGTAAATACCCAATAATGTAATTACTGTTCAATTTTTAATGTTTTGAGGAACCCCCATACTATTTTCCAGAGTGGCTGCACCATTTTGCATTCGCACGAACAGTGCAAGAGGTTTCCTTTTTCTCTACATCCTTGCTAATACTTGTTTTCTGTGTTGTTGATTTCAGCCATTCTGACTGGTGTGAGGTGATATCTCATTGTAGTTTTGATTTGTATTTCCTTCATGATGAGTGATGTTGAACATCTTTTCATATGTCTGTTAGCAACATTTTTATAGATATGTTTTCTGAGGCAAGAGAAATTAAAGCAAAAATAAACTATTGGGATGACATCAAATAAAAGTCTTATGTACAGGGAAGGAAACAATCAACAAAACTAAAAGACAACCTACTGAATGGGAGAAGATATTTGCAAATGACATGTCCAATGAAACATTAGTATCCAAAATATATGATTTGTTTTTAAGTAAAATAATTTTCTGGATTTTAGTACAAATAGAAAATGTGATTTAAATTTGACAGTTGGAGCATTTGAATCTATTGAAAGAACATAAGCTGAGTTTGGATCCCTATCTTCTAGGCTTGATTGTACCATTAAACCCCATTGTGACTATAAACAAGCCACTGGGACATTAGGATTTCTAAAGTTTTTTTTTTTAATTGGTTTTCTTTCTTTCTTTCTTTCTTTCTTTCTTTCTTTCTTTCTTTCTTTCTTTCTCTTTCCTTCCTTCTCAAACTGGCAACACACATATGTATGTCTGAGAGGTATATTTCAATGAAAAATAATAATCAATAATAACAAGTATTTGGAGAAGGTTAAGTACAAAATAAATGTGACAAGTATTTTATCATTGTTCTACTTATGTTTATCCAACTATCAATTACACTATTGTTATTGTTATGCTAGTGTTACACTGTCAGAAGCACCAACATATTGTTACTATTTATGGACTCTTGGATCTTACAGGTTTAGAAGGTTGTTAGATCTATCTATATGTGGATTTTAATAGCAAAGCCAGGTATATCTCAACTTAGAAAACATTGACTAGGGGATAATTTTCATTAAGAATACATTTGTTTGTCTGGAAAAGATGAATTAAGGTAGAGAGCTTGCAAAATTAGTAAATTAGGAAAGATCATAATAATGGGCCATAAGGGCCTCTCCCTTCATTGATGATGTACATGCATATTGTCAAAATCATAAGCTATACAGGGTGTATTTGATAGGGGGATCATTCTGCTATAGTGATTATGACAATAGTGAGTTTATTATTCTGGAAGATACCTGTGAATGAGCAGAGGGCTCATATAAGTTGAGAATGGTAGGTATCAAAACATCAAGAAAGAGACAAAGTAATTGTTATAGCTTATTCCCTGAAATAATAAAAATACATATATAGATTTTGGAAGAGGTTGAGTACAAATCACCAGTTATGAAATCTGATGCAGTAACAAGAGAGAAAATTTTTATTTGTCGGTAAAATTCTTTCAAGTGATTCTTAGATTACATTTCAGAAATAACTGGCTGTACTGTCTTTATCTCACATGTGAAGCTAGTATTGAGTAGTAGGATAGTGATAGACACCCAGGGGGGAAAAAAAAGATGTCACCCTTCCTTGTCCCTATCATTATTCAAACTCTGGGTATGGAGATTTGGTCCTGATAATTAATACTGAGTTGGGATGACTACAACTGCTATTTAGAGACCACCTATACCAGATTTACCATAGTAAGTTATTTACATTCAAATTGTAAGTTAGGCACTTGGGGAGCTGCTTTAACTTTCAGAGTTCCAAATGCTATTGCTGGGTATGTTGATGTAATTGTTTTATTTAACAGTCTGTTAGAGATCCCAGCAACCTATGCTATTGCACAGAAGATGATTTCTTAAACATTTAAGTGTCACAAATCCTAATACCTTTGAAAATCTGATGAAAACCTAGACTCTCTCCTTTAAAATTTACATATATGCTCTTTTTTGCATATCATGACAATCAGACAGTTTATACACCCAGTATTCCAGACCAAGGAATGCTTTCACTAGGTAATTAATCATTAATGTGTGATAAGCAGATCTTTCTTCCCATTTCTTCTCAACCTTTTCCCATACTTCTAAGCTTATTGCTCAGATTTAGAGCACCTAAACAGTCTCTCCTAACTGAAAAGTTACAGTTGGATAGTATACATAAAGCGAAAGAAGCATGGAGACACAAAGACTAGGAACAGATTCCTGTCATGAAGAACAGTCACTTCCCTTATTGGTTGCCAGCGTTATCAAGTGGGTAAGAACCACCCATATGTTTATATATCTGCAGTATTTTTACAGTATTAATATCTACCACTGTTTGAAATAATTTGTGTAACTGTTGTTGTTTCTATCAATTTCCTTTTGCCTGCTTGTAGGCTTTTTGCTTTTTCCCTGAGTGGTTGATGGAAAAGTGACCATATATACAGTAATTTCTCAGTATCTGTTTTAGTTTTCTTCCAAAGCAGATCTTCTTAACATCATCAAAGACTGCATTTCTTCACCAAAAAAACACGGCATTGTAAGACTTCTGTGCTTTCTTCAATCCCCACCATGCCCTTAACAATCCTGAGCTGAGCTTTTTCACAAAACCAAAGTGATCTATATTTATTTCTGGTAATGGTCTATGGGTAAGAGGACTGAAAATATCTGAATATCCAGTATATAAATTGAATAGTGAGTCCCTATTGAAAAGAATAATATTTATTTGTAGAATCCAATCTTTCCCATCAGTCAGAATGGAAACTAAAGGTCTCAGTTGTTTTTTTTTTTAATATATTTTACATTTTAGGGCAATTTTAGGTTTATAGCAAAATAGAGCAGAAAATGTAGAGCATTCTCATATATTCCCTGTTCCCCCATATGCACAGTCTCCCCCACCATCAACATTCCAAGCCACAGTGATGCATTTGTTACAATTGATCTAGGTACATTGACACATCATTAACACCCAAAGTGATAATTTACATTAGGGTTCACTCTTGGTATTGTACGTACTGTGGGTTTTGACAAATGTATGGCATGTACCTACATTGTAGTATCATATAAAATAGCGCCCCCAAAAGTCTCT